CTGAGTTCCAGCGTAAGCGGCATGATGGCGCCCGCTCACCATGCTCACTCTCCTCCGCTACGGCAGTTGGAATAAGAATAGATAGCCGGCTTCCTCTACACGGACATGATGAGTATGCATGTAGGATACGGCCACTCCAGCGAGTACGATTGGTTGCATTGTAAAACCCCTATAAACTCAGCATACTTCTTCTAGCACCGGCTAAGGTTTGGAAGTGGAAAGCCACGTGATGGATATGTGTTCTTTCTTTTCTCCCTAGATTGCCTCGCGCAATCACCTTAGGCAAAGTGATGGCAAAATTCGGACGCCAAGAACCTACACGCAATTCCGTTACTTTCAAGACCACAGACGCATTTCGACTCTTATGGTGACGCTCTCTATCAATTGTGATTAGACATTAAGAGGACTCTTTGACTTTGCTTTGGATGTAAGTGAACGCCATTCGAACGCGTTCTAGTTCCCGCACGATGCCTTATCCGCCGGGTGGCAAATTTTGTGAAAAGGATTTTATCATTTCTAGTCCTTGAAGCAATAGGCTATACGGACACTTACTGGAGCATGTGAAAGTCGTACTCTCTTAGCTATGGAGACGCATGCCATTTCTTCATACGTCACCTTTTTACCGCCGCTAAACAAGACCTGTAAAGTAGAGAGTCATGCGACAGCCGCCGCGATCTCATTGCCAAAAAGAGCCGCGGCTCATAGTTGGCATCGCTTTCCCCTTGTTGGAAGTTGAACGTTGCCCATTCTCAACCCATCGGCACTTGTCAAAACCTACGACGTATGGCGTCAAATTGGTTGCAATTATCGTCGAGAAGAATTCAGACGTAACAAGAGCAAGTCACCGTGAGAGTCGGGCATTCATCCAACCCCGGAACTTAATCGAGATTCGAAGTTCGTCGCGATCTCACTTAGCCCGGGGATGACAGGTGGATACCGGGAAGCTTAGCGCAGTCCCCGATGTCGTTATGATGGACTATGCGTACTTACCTACTTAGGTAGTGAATTGGCGAGGTGCAAGGGTTGGCTCGCGCGTTGACTTTGTTTCTCAACTCAGCTCTGCAGCAAAAAATGCGGTGACTGGTTCAATTGTTGACACTTGAATCGTTGGTGTCTTGCTCTTGACCTGTGGTTCCGTAGCGTTGCTCGCTTTCGTTGCTAAAAATGAGCAATGATTCTGTGAGTGATATGCCCGTCTTTGCTTCGATGGTGTCTCGTTTGGATTGATGGAAATGAACATCTGTCAGACAGAAACGATGATGTCAGGTTATGAACACCACAAACCTTAATGTTAGTTGAGAACATACAGCAGACAAGGGTGTCAAAGAAGTGTTATTGAGTCATTCCCATTTGTGCATCTTGCTCGAGGGCTGAGAGAAAGAAACTACGTTGATTCAGGTTTTAGTTTGAATAAATAGAATACTGAGTATCATCTTACCCGCCTTAGCCATCACCTACAAAGTTCAGTGAGCAAGAGGTTGGTAACCAATGGGCGGGCAGGGCTCCTTTCTTTTCTTGGCTGGAAGCCTTTTGAAACTATGCGCATGTAATTAATCCACTTACGCTTCAGCACTTCAATGAAGAAACACAGAAAGGTAGGTCTCCCATTTCATCTATCTGCGTGGGCTGACACGAAATCATGTCTTTACCCCTGCATTGGTGGATGTAGCGATCAAATGGAAAGAGCCGTGCCACATCCCGCAGATCTCCCCGCATTCTCCACGCCGTCCCGCGCAGCGGTTTCCCGCCACTAGCGGGTTTGCTTTGACGGGACTGGCGGACATTATTTTCTTGCCCACTCGTTTCTGGCGGAATTCGGGATTGAAAATGCTTTACATAACACTGCTCCTGGAGCCATTTTCCTTTCCTTGGATGATGGAAATAGAAATTTCTGCTCATGCATTTGTCAGAGAGCTTCTTTGTGAATGGCATCCAGTTTTGCGACTCGAGAGGAGGTTCCGCTGGAACTCAAAAGGTCTATTCACTGGAGGTCCAGTACGCAGCATCATCCGAAACTAACAACTTTCGATCTGCAAACGAGAAACAGAAAAACCAAAACTCGCTTCGAGGACCAATTTTCGATCAGACTCTTTCGTTTCAAATAGGCGACACATGCCTCGAACGCTGTTGTCGGCTGAAATTTGCGCTATCGTTGGAGATTCTGGAGGTCAACCGGCAGCCGCAGTACGCATGTTCGCCACAAGGTTTGCGACAATCATGTGTTGCAGGAAGGCTGTACCAAAGAGAGACTGGCTGAGGGTTGGTACCATCCTATGACAGAATGTGGAACAAAACAAAGGAGCAAAGAGCTACGCTCAGTAATGGGGAGAGTTCGGAGGCACGAGAATATTCGTACATGCAGAAAGAATCCGACAGTCATTTACGACGAAGTACCAAAGAAGGAAAGAACAAGAACACAAGTCAACATTGATAAGTGCTGGAGAGGGTGTGTTTTGGTTGGAAAGATCCTTTCAGCATGGAGTTGAAAGACATCCAGCAGCACAATGTCATGTTCCTGGCTTCAGGAACAATTTTGAGGAGCGTTGAGCAGAGTATAATGAAGGCTGAGCCAAATTCCTTCCGCCAGGTTAGTTGAGCTTTCTGTTGGTATCTCGAAAATTCGAAGATTGGTTGACTGATGTGTGTAGTAGCCAGGTCAGCTCCCAAATCAGCGATCTATCCGACCAATTTTGTTTATCAACACACGATTCACGAAACGGGCGACGCGGTGGCATATGAACGATCCATAGCCTCAAACTTTTTCTCCACCAATATCCTTTCGCCGATGGAGTTTGGACTTCGATCGTAAGAGGCAGTGGCACGGAGCCGCCAGACTTTGGACCATGAGCGCTTTCACATGGAACCTCGACCGAGAGAAACGCAGATTGAGCGCGTGGCTATATGCAAAGGAACAGGACACCTTTCGTGATAGGCGCATCGATCGGCGGATGCTTCCAGACATCCGTCGCTTTCAAAGGAGTCAGGCAAACACGGCGGCTTCCAAGGGGCTTCTCCGCGTGGCAAGTAATACCATTAGGTTGCGGGAGCTCCCGTCTGGGGAAGACTCAGAAGGAAATCGGCCCTTCGGAAACGACGGAGACTTCCCATCCAGTGTCTTTACCCCAAATAAGGCGAGACATCGAAGCACTCCGCCAAAAATGGATCCTCTTCGCGTCGAGGTTCAGCTGGCTACTGCACACAAACTCCCGATAAAGTATTGGCAGGCAGGAACGATCGGCGGATGTTTCGGGCAGCCAGGATGATTTCAGGGCTCGGAGCAAACAATCTACTACCGAGATGAAGGCAGGCTTTGGACAAGGCCCCCTCATTTCGACTATGTCGCGGTGGACTGAGGTTGCGAGCGGGGTTGATTGGACGAGAAACACGACCAAGTTTGGAAGTGTTGCACTCACTGAGACCGTTTCCATCAACATGAACCAACAATTCACGGGTCCTCGAGCCGGAGAGTTATGCAAGCGCGGTATTGGAGGCATGGAGAGAGTCGCATTGAACCGAATTGTTCCCCTTTCAGGTTCAAGAGGATGGGGAAATTGAAGAGCAAGAACAAAACCAGGAGACCTCAAGAAGGTGGCCAGAAAATCATCGGCTCGTCGCTCCGCAATCCCACGAACGGCCCACTACCGAGCTAGCCCAATTGGGCTAGGTTGAGAATTAGGGAGGCCCAGACAGACGTTTGTGATGCGGAGAAGCCCCATATATGCGGGGCAATCATCCTAGCCGAACCACTGAGGGTCCGGGAAATCATTGTGGGAAAGCGGGGAAAATGCGCCTTCCTGGCCGAGTAGCTGCAGCTGTGGCTCGGGGGAAGGAGGCACTTGGAAGGAAGCAGGTGGCAGGTGACTTGCCGTTTTTTGATTTGATCGCCTCATGCCGAACGACGACGTTCCCTTTCGCGCAGCTTCTTGTCAGATCAGGCGAGAGAACGACATCATCGGATGAGAGAGCTCGCGACAAGGCACTGGACATCAAATATCGACTGCGGTCCACGTAGACTACGGCTTCAGCAGACAGAGAGCCGACGCCCCAGACCCAACAATGAGATATTCAACAGCGTGCTCGGCGTGTCGGTAAGTCAACCTGCGAATCTCTCCCCTTTGAACTTTGCTGGCGATCGTTCCAACCCCTTCGTTCATCGGCTTTGAGGCGCATCATTGGCATCACTACTGACAGCATGACAGCGCACGACGGAGGAAATGTGAGGTTCCTATCGGTGGCGGCCAGTGCACTTACTGTGCGGCCCAGAACATTGCCTGCTCGAGGGCTGGTACCATAATTCAGCCCAAGGCAGCTCCCATCAGCCCCATATCCATCACAACACCAAAGACACCGACAGTCACCGAGATCATCCTTGCTAGTCCACCAGGCATCACTCCTTCAGCTGCTGTTGCAGACAAGGCGTTATGCTTCGAGCTTGTGGAGTTGTACTTCAAGTATATCCACGATCAGCTTCACTCCCTCTTCCACAGGCCCAGCTTCATGCTGGATCTACACGAGGGAACCGCTCCTCTGGTGCTTGTCTACGGAATGATGGCACTGTCAGCGCGCTTCTCGTCGAATTCGATTTTTAACGGGATATCACCGATGTCGAGGGGCGAGCTTTTTGCCAATGAGGGAAATCTACTACTCAACTTACGTGACGTTTCACTGACCACTGCACAAGCATGCGTCTTGCTTGGCGCGTACTCTATCGTAGAGGGTGAAGCTGGTGCTGAAACCATCTTCTATTCAGCGGCTTGCAGGATAGCCAACTATCTCGATCTACCCAACCTGCCAACTCCAGATCCTCTCCAGAGAGAGATCCACATCAGAGGTAGAAAATCCGCCCTTCAGTTGATGTCACAATACAAATACTGACTTTCGAAGTGTATTGGTCACTTTGTATGATCGATGTGTGGTCGTCAACTGGTGTCAATCTTCCGCGTCTCATGGACCGTCGAATGGATGTCCCGTTACCCATGAATGAGTCAACCTTTCTCAACATGACTCGGGCAAACAACAATCACTTTGACTTCATTCTCTCACCAAATCGCGAAGATTCACTGATCGCTCAAATGATAAAGTTGAACAGTATTCTGATGAGGGTCAATGATGCCATCAAGAGTCTCACATCTGATGTTGACGTGACCAACATCGACGAGACCGTGTCTCAACTGTCACAAGAGCTCGAAGCTTGGGAAGTGGCTCTACCCCACAACCTTCGCGATACCCCGAGCAATCTCCATGCCTTCGCCTCTCAAGGCCTTGGGCGGATCTTCATTGCCGTGCACACTGGCCACTATCACTACAGTCAGCTACTGTACTACCAGTACCTAGACGAAGTTCAGCGCTTCCCTACTTCACCAACAGCACAGATGTTCGCGCGCAAATGCAAGGAGAACGCTATATCCATGTCACGTATCATCGACCTCGCAAACACAACACCTGGCTGTGACGCCAAATTCAACATGCTCGGACACATCATTGTCATTACATCTTCAATCTTTATCCACACTTTGCTGTTCGAAACGGACGAAGCCGAGATTGCAAATGCCCGTGCCACACTAGAGCGTCATTTCAATACCCTCGTCGCTCTGCGGGCGTACTGGCCAGCACTGGAGGTTTGCTTCGCACGGCTAAAGACGTTCCATGAGCTATGTCGCAAGAGTATGAACACCAGCTACCGCATGGATCGGTGGATGTTACGGTTCTTAACTGAATTTGCGCGACCAATCGACGAGAAGGAGCGTGATGAGGATGGCCATATGGACTTAGATCGCTGGAGTGTGGGTAACATCGGAATCAGTCCCGAGAACTGGGCATAGCAACGCAAGGGCTCGGACGCATAAGCTTCACGGCACGTGCTTTTCGGCTGGGCATCCGGGGGCATGTCGAAACGAACCAAATGCATCAACAGATTCAGAAAGTCCACCTCCATGTCGCAGCGGCTGAGCGGCAATGCGTTGTCAGAACCTATCGGCAGGTGTACGCTGGGGTATACTGACAAGTTATGCCTGCTCGGCTGGGGTATGAGCCGAAGCTAGACCATCAGAGACGTCAATCTCGCAGAGAGTAGATACAGAAACCGTCTGAACCCGAACCAGTCCGGCCCTGCCTAATGCCAGCAGCAAGAGGCAAGTCGAGCCAGATGTGTGGTTAAGGAGGCGGGAGGGCCCGTATTGTGCCTCGATGCTAAGCAATCGAAAAGTACCCAATCACAAGTTTGCTTAAACGACGAGTCAAGGAGTCCAAGAGGTGGTGGGTAAGGTCTTGTGATGATCCAATATGCAAGGTTTAACGGAAAGTAATGTGGGATGATTTGTGTCATCCAAAGGGTGAACAACGCGCTAGTAAAATTTGGTGTGGTTTTCTTGGAAGAACATGCCGTGGGGCACACCATGGGGGTACACGTGGGATCGAACACATTTTCTACAGTTCTACAGTGGTAAGCAGATCGCCGGGAAACGAAAAACCTTGAGTTAGCTGCAATGATGTATGATTTGAAACCGAGAATATCTACTTCCATGCGAGGAATACCTGGCACGCCCTCGAACGGACACCAACTCGAGTTGCCGAGTCGAGGGCTGCCGGTGGGCTTCTCAATTCATCCTGATTCTCGACTTCTGACTGCAATCCTTCATTTGACCTCCTCTGGTGCATGCTGATCACCAGCCTCTTCCTCATCAACGACCTTGGCCGCGTTGACGTGTACCTCGGATCTCGGATAGCCCCCAAAGTGCCTCACCGGCACGCCATCATGAAACATGCGATCAATTTCCTCCAGACTCCTCCCCTTACACTCTGGCACGCAGAAAAACACAAACAACGCGGAGCAGACGGCGATACTGCCAAATATGAAGCCGACTTTACTTTGTAGCGCGGCGTAGGGCGCGTTGAGTAGATATGGAAGAGTGAAGTTGACGAGGAAGTTCATGAAGATGTTGACGAGAGAGGAGACGCGCTGGGAACGGTCGCGGAGGCGGAGGGCTGGGACTTCGGTTACGACTACGTAGGTTAGGGGACCCCACCCGAGACCGAAGCCGGCGCCGACTATGGTGAGGGTTAGTTCGATACTGTATAGATGCTCATCGTTGGTGCCGGGTTTGAATTGTTCTTACATAGGAGGAGCATGCCAACCATGCCTGACTTATTGGCATTGGGGACGGGCTTTGGTACGCCGAGGCCGGCCATTGTGTAAAGTGCAACTGTCTGAACTGTAGCACCAACAAGGAGAATTTTGCTTGAAAGGAATGTCAGTACTGCGGACTGATTCGAATGGAAAAAGAAAAGATCTCGCACCGTCGTCCAACCCGATCCGTCAAGAACAAACACGTGATAATCAAGCCCGTCGTCAACGCCGATGACCCTAGAGTCACATCAAACGGATTCAGCGTGCCGAGCGACTTGACCCAGACGGCACCGTACTGCGACGCGAACGCCTGGCCCGTTGCTTGCTGGAAAAAGGACATGCCAACGGCGATGGCAGTGCGCTTTCGGTTCACGCCTTGGAAGAGCTCCTTTGTTCGGCCCTGCTCGGGCTCATCGAGGAGAGATTGCTGGATCTTGGAGAACTCGTGGGATATGTCGTCTTCGGACATGGTTCCTTCGCGGAGGAGATAATGGGCCTTTCTGGCTTCTTCGACGCGGTCTCGGAGAAGAAGCCAGCGCGGAGACTATCAACGGGTTAAGAGAGTTAGTTCAATAACGCTGAAGGATGAGAAGCTCGGGTTATACTCACCTCTGGGATGAACCAGATTAAGGCCAAAACGATTGATGGGATGACGTAGAAGAGGCCAAAGGGAATTCTGTAGGCACGGCTGTCTTGAAAGCTCGACGTTCCGCGACAGATGGAGTTGATGACGAGGCCACCAAGCTATATATTCGGAATCAGCAGTCATAAACGGAATAGGGGTTCGGGTTGTGGACTTTTGCGTACGCCAATGGAGAGTTGGTACGTTCCAACAACCATTCCTCGAACCGGAGCTGGGACAATTTCCGACTGATACACAGGAACTACAGCCAGCTCGAACCCGACATAGACATCTGGAGCCTGTCAATGATTGTTATGTAGCTTCAAGTAGGCTTTTCCGTACAGTTGAGGATTCTCCCTACGAGAATTTGTTCCTTCGTCGTGGATGTGACCACGACCGTGGCACTAATCAGGGCGTAGATGCTCATAACGATCATCGTCGTGCGACGACCGAAGCGTGCACTGGTCAGACTTCCAACCACAAGACCTGAGGCACCGTGTTAGTGACCCATAATCATCATCCACTTTGCCCTCCAGCACCTAAACTTCAAGTTTCCAAGGGGGGGGGGGGGGGTTAACGTACCAGCAGCGAAGCCAATGTAATTCAGACTATTCAACAACGACAAAAAGTACGTTGGAATCTTCCACTGCCTTGTCGCGTCGTCGTACTCGCCAAACTGCCTTTCAAAGGCATCCATGGCCTGTGTCGAGGTGAAGGCCTGGTTGTCGAAGCCATAGTTGAACTGGGATACGGCAATGAGGAACACGGAGGCGAAGAGCCTCTTGTTGAAGTGCTGTGTTACCGACTTGATGCCCATTATAGCTGATTATCATCGAGGATGAGCTCAGATTGGTTCAGGTAGCCAGGTTGTTCATCGTGGTTTCGGGGTCAAGGTGGGAGGGAGTTGAGTTATATGGCGGTTACATATTGGAGCCTTTCCTACACTAACAAACATTCGTGGTATGTCGCCATGTCACGACGCTGGCAATGAACCGAAGCCAGGGACGTGGAACTTGAGACTAGTGCTTCGTGGTGGAGACTTTGGAAGCATGGAAAGTCTGGAGAAAGTGAGTTGCAAACCGCTTACAGATGGTTCGTGACAGCGGATCTCGGCGGATGTGGTGTTGCCAGGGGGTCAGATGTTCCCCAAGATGGTGCGAGCGATATCCGGCGAGATGCGGTAGAGACCCACTTGCTCTTCGAAACACCATCTTGGCCCCGTCTTGCGTGCTTGAGCTGGACAGCTTGAGCCTAGTTCTTAGTTCCAGCAAAATTTGGTTATTTCGGGTATGTTTCTCCGTCGTTGGATATGTCTTGTATGCCATCTAGGTCTAATCCGAAATGTACATGTATCTTCCAAGTTGCAACTCAGTCTGCTATTCACACGTCTGTGCTTCCTCAGACACTGGCGGGATCCGGATCCATGTAGCCCGATAGAAACCAGCTTAGCTCACCGCTCATGTCAAACTGCGAAGGGGCTACAAAGTAATCAGGTGCCAGCTGGTTTTCTGCAAAGCCGGACCAGGTAAGCGGTCCAGCCAGACTGGAGCCAATGTCGTTGAGACCAGCCGCGCTGGCTAGAGAGGCCGGGTAGATATCGACAGAGTCCGTCATGGTCATGTCCGTCGTTTCTGAGGCCTGGAGGATCGAAGGCGTTTGAGGAGGGTCAGAGTGCTGTAGCGCGACTTCGTCCGCCGTCTTCGCGTTGCTATCGAAGCTCTGAGATAACGGGTGATATCTGCTCAGCAGGTTGTTCCGCTGGACTTCGCTACTGACTGGCGCGAGCTCTTGCGTCTCTGCATCGTTTTGTCTTCTGTCTTTATCGGCTTCAACCATCTTTTCGACGTCTTGCTGTAGTACCGCGATGATGGGTGCGATCTTGGCCATGTCGTCCAGCAAGGTGATGTTGCTCTGGCACAAGGCCTCCACGGCCTCGTCATTGAGCTCTGCAGTTTCGCCAGTAATCGGGTCGACAAGGCCATCGTATAGCTTGCACCGTCGCGCCGTGAGGAGGGTCTTGGTACACTGATGCACCATGCTGCCGTACCCCAGACGGAGAGGGATACGCGTCTGCTTCGATTGCAGGGCGCCCTTGGCTCGGAGCTTCTGGAGATGCTCCCATAGTCTCGCCTGACGTAGAGCGTGAGATACCGCAAGTGCGCGCCACTCGGATACAAAGGCTGGTGGAGCGCTCGCGAGGAATTTCGGCGATGCGCTCTCCCTGTACGCGGCTGGCAGGGCGACGCGGAAGAGGTCGCAGGCGCACTGAAGGTACCACGAATTAAGCGTGAGGTAAGATGAGAACTCTGATGTAGTTGAATGGGAGAACATGTTGAGTTCGCTCAGTTGCAGGTGTTTTGGTGTGTTTTTGAGGAAGGATCTTAATCGGTCTCGTAGGTCTTTCATGGTTGTGACTGCTTTGGAGACTGCGTCTGGGGAGTGGTCTGAGTGGCTATCTATGACGATTCTCTTTGTTAATCTGTGGGCGTCAGTATCGACTCCGTCTAGAAGGGAAGAGAAGTTTTCAAATGCCTACCGCAGTATCTCACAGCGAAGCGGTAAGAGCATTATCAAGTAGGCATTAGGTCCAGCTTCGTGGGATGCAAGTGCCTCCACCCCGTCACTTAGTCTGCCAGTAGGCTTCATCAGCCCATGACAGAAAGCATGTTCCGAGTTTGGCAACGAAGTCCTCATCCACCGATCTGGCAACGAGGTGAACTCATCCAGACCCGCTGAGAGCATCTTATCCATACTCCACACATGCCACACCAGCCGCCGCTCGCACTCTCGCTTGATTAGCGTAGCGGTGGGATCATTTTCGGACGCCGGTCTCTCGTCGTTAAGCTGGAATGAGACTGCTAACCTCGCGGCCATGCTGATGAGCAGCCACATCTTGCCGAACTGCCTGTAGGCAAAGTTTTGAAACATGGAGAGGATGAGAAGCTGAATGTTGAGCACCTTGAAAACATTGAGGTTTCCGAATATGTAGGCATCTACTTCTTTGGCCCACTGAACGGATAGGACTCGCGACTCGCGCGAGCGGGAGACGAACATTGCTGCAGTCGCGCATATCGATGTACATAGAATGGGCGGTAGCTTTCCGGCGTAAAACTCTTCCATTACGGATGGCCGATGGAAGAAATCGTGGCCTATTGGATAGACGTGGTCAAAGTACGCCTCGAGATGCTGACGTATCACGTCTGTACTGAGGAGAGCATGGTCCAGGGCCGTGTTCAGAGACATCCTGCCGACGCCGTACTGCTGGTGTAGTGTAGGATCTGCCTCATAGGAGGCGCTCTGGCTGAAGGTGCTGCTAGATTCTGGAGAAGCAGACTGTTGCTGTTGTCCAGCGACATGCCGGTTCTTGCGCCTTGACGTCGATGATGGATACACGCATGATAGGTTCCTCCGGTTGCAGTGGAAGCATTGCGGGCGATGGCCGGAGCACTTCGCCTTTTGAGCGCGACATTCCGTACATGCGGCCGCGATGCGCCGGCGCTTGGTCCCGGCTTCAGTCAGAGCGTCTACCGGGGCTGAAAGTCCTTGTCGGCTCGGGTCTTCTGGTGACAGGTTGGTCTCCGGGTAGTTGAATGTACAGTCAAGTCTCAGTCGACGACAGTTCTCACATGGCTGAGGGCCCCCAGTGCATTTAACCTGAGCTTTGTCAGTAGGCTTTTCCATCATGTGCGGAGGCGGGGAACGGGGGCCACAATGCGGATGCTTCAACTACCTTTCGGCGCTTACACGTCAAGCACCGGGGTCTAAGTATCGGCGCTGGCTCAGGTTCGGCAACCGAACTGTGGCTCGGCATCGTGTCTCAGTCTCCTCCGTTAACAGGGCGTTAAGTTTGAAAAGAAGCCTACCACCGCGGGGCTCTCGCATCGAAACTTCGTTGTCGAGACTCAACGGCGGACCGGGATGCGGAACCCGGAAGAGACCGAGGATAATATGCCCCGGAAACCCCAGTTTTCCCACCGAAATACACTGACGTGCTCAGCATGCGGGGTCGCTTAAACCCCTTTGAACGCAACGCAGCCCACAATGCATGCGCTTCAGCGAATCCGAGGGCGCGTGGGGGCCCGAAGGGGCAGAGCACATCATTGTGCTGAAGGATTGCGGAAGAGTTGCCCGACGCAATTGGACAGTCATTCAAGCATTGGTGTGAGAGACACAATAACGTCTAAGAACGCCGTACGGTTGTACTCTGTAGTCAGGTAGAGTTGAGAAAGTTGAAACATTGACCCCATACGCTGTTTGCTATCTGATGATATTTCTCACGCTGGAGCCAATTTGAAGTCAAGTGGGAGGCCAAGGATCATAGTCAGCATTTCCCGAGTCATCCGCCCATGTTTTTGTCGCCGTGAAATGACCACTATCGATCGAGTGCGGGCAGAAACCATGGCCTGGGATTGCTATTTGACGTAAAGTCTCTCTATGATGGCCTGCAGCAGAAGACAAGAAAGCCAAGCTGACCATGGCGTTGGCTCAAACAATGTACGCAGGAAGTATCGTCTTTTTGAGATCGACCTCATATCAATATCGTAAGACATATTCTTTGGTTCAATTCTTAAACATAATTACTGCATTAAATTTCACTTAAAAATCCCCTTCGAACAGTTTCTTCCAGAACGAGAACTCAACTGAGAAGAATTGATTCGTGTTGATAGAAATCCGAGTTGAAATCATAGTGGGGCGAATTTGATCCTATCGAGACTCAGAATGACCACACTGACAGACACTTTGGTACGCGACATGACCGAGAGGAGCCACTGATGGAAGATTAAGAGATTCTATCATGACTTTTAGACTTTTTCACATCACAATTTCCACATGCTAACCATGTCTTCTTGAGCCCGGCTCTAGAGAGAGTCCGAACATGTTGTGCTCAAGGGTATAATCGAGAGATGGCAGCAGTCGTGGTAACAAAGGAAAGCTAAACATAAGATAAAGCCTCAGGTGAATATCATTAGGGCCCACACTTCTCACATTCTTTGAGCTGATGGGTTGCCAAGGCCCGGTGCCGGAAGCGGACTGTGCCCGGGTCGGAGCCGACCTGATGCCTCCGCCCGGGTGGAACTTGCTTCGGGCCATGCAAATTTTGTTGTCTCCATCCCGCCAAATTCCACCTATTTTCCATATTCGAAATTTAATCTCTCCCATCCTCGTTTTTGCCATCAACCAGCCCAATTCAGACTTGTCTGCCCGGCTAGCTCAATCGGTAGAGCGTGAGACTCTTAATCTCAAGGTTGTGGGTTCGACCCGTAAGCATATTCTGTCCATGTCACACTCCTCCACAACACAACTAACTCCTCTCAGCCACGTCGGGCTCAATTCCCGTCAGCGATTGACGCATTTCTTTTTGTCGATTCCGAGTTTTTTTCTATTAATTTCTGTGTCGGGGATCCACCTCATCTTTCCCCTTGTTGTCTGACTTACCTCCTTCAACTCTCCTAGATTTAGATCCTAGGATTGCCTTACTTGACGGTGACCATCGTGTTTCTATTTGAATTTGCATGGGCGTGGTTCTCAAGAAGACAAGAAACTATCTTGACTCTGTTCTTCAGAAGGTCTTCAGAATGAAAAGAGTAAAGTTCCTTTTGGAGTCAAGTAATACATCAAAAACAATATCAAGTAGCTCGGTGCGAGCCATGTTGATTTACCCTGAGATACCAAGATACGTTGACTTTCCAGTTGACTTTCCACATGCACCCAAGCAGTTGGGACATCTTCAGACCATTTTATTGTAACGCCAAGAATCAACCCCTTGAAGGCTCTAAAGGCTTATCAAGAATTTGCTGCACCGGCCTATACCCTCAGCCCGCGTTGAGGATACCGGGAAATCTCCCCTTTCAGCATTTATGGACATACAACTCGGGTCTTGTGAGCGAAACGCCCGCTGGTCCATTGATCAAGCCACCTATTGGCCCAGACTACCCATGTGATACTCTCAAACGCCCGCTGAAACGCACCTAAGTCGCCGGATGTAGAGTGGTTATCAGCCTTCACAACTTGGCAGGGTGGACTTGGAAGATATAAGGACTTCTCTCCTCCTAGATGAAGAGATCCAAAGGAGAACATATATGTTTTGCGAACCAAAATGCAGTGTACCCAAATTTTCGACACGCTACTAACAAGATGCTGAGTTATCCAGCGGACACTTCATGAACACGGCAATCATGCACACGGTTCAGGTGTACGATATCGGCGCTTGCCGATTTTCCAGATTTTGGACCAAGCAGCGATGAAGGTACTTAACTAATACTGATAAAGCCCCCTGTCGTGCGTAAAATTTTCACCATGAAGGCATCGACTGGAATGCTGACTCCTCATCACGATAGTCGGACCTGAATTTGGCTATGGCCATTTCGTCTTCACCCTCATCGGCCTACAATCGCCGGAGTACCCGATATCATCACGTCACTGCATCTCCCCTCAACCATCCATTGACACCGAAGTCGGAGTTCACGCACGAACTTGACGATAGCAAAGGCCCCAGAAATGGTCTATCAAACTGCCAAATCTGGCGGTAGCGCAAGTGGTCAGCATGACTTCCCCGTTCTGCGTTGCTCAATCAGCTCTCCCCACGCCTGCCTAAGGTACGTCAGACCGCTGAACGTGGGGCGGCAGCACGAAGAAGTTCGCGCTTCAGATGCACCGTTATGGTAGTCGGAGCTTGTATTTCACAAGTCGCAGAAGACCGGCTCTTTTAGTTTGCTATCCGACTATCGACCATGCAGGCTTATCAGTGATCCATCTGCCAACATCCCGGCGCGGGAAGTGGGAAGTGGGGGCCGCTCTACAGAGGACCCTGGTCTCTTCCTACGGCAGTTTGTCGCCTTCAACGGTTCGTTGGTAAGTTTGTGTTCGCTCAGACTTCCTTAATGTACGTAAAGCTAAGCTTGTCGATAGACAGGGCTTCAATTCAACCGTCCATTTACTCGATCTGCACCTCATCGCGACTGGAGCCTTCATTCTCAATCCGGATTAAGTATCCTGTCTCGCCTGTCGGAGGTGATCCCGACACAGGCACGAGAGATAAGCTCGCAACACCAGTAGAATATGGCCGCTGAAGACTCCTCTCAACGATTTTCTATCCTTCCTCACACCAGTATTGAGAAACAGTTTTCGAGGCCTTTCAAGGCTCTCATACAGCAATGCGATGCAAATCCCGGTAGCAGCATTTGAGTGTACAACCGGCGAGGTCGAAGTTCGAGATTCTTAACTCCCCCGCACGATGCTCACAGACGTCGGGTCAACCCCACCTCGAATGCATCCCTGAACCTCCTCTTAGAGCTAGGACTACCTTGCCCATGACTCCGCATAACTGAACTTCGAGATAAGAAATGCCCATTCAACAACACTACCGCCATGATGGCAACTTCGATTATCGATATGCCATTCAGTCCACATTTATTGTCCTATCAGTACAATCTCGGATTCGACTGACAAACTTGGACTGGCGTTATCGAGAGCTCTACCCCAGTCCCAAAGCTACGGGCCCGACGCCGTTGGCCCGAGTCAACCGACCACGCCGACCTACATCGACCCGCCATCCGAACATTGAAGCATTCGCCAAGACACCAAAGACTGAAGAAAGCAGAATATATCATGCCTTTGTGTTACATACAGCCCCACGGGATGAACGGCATACAGTCCTATCCGTAGGCCGCGGCCCGCGATATCATCGGACCCCTACCCTAGCTCGTTCGCAAACCATCAAGACATGAGCGCCACGTTCTGCAGCTCTCGAGTGATTATCTCTCGGCGCTCGCTTATGCAGCTCATCCCCGGCGTGATAGGACACTTTTAATACCGCCCAGAAGTCATCGCCGCAACGATAGCCATACAGTGGCTACCCTGTCTCGAGAACCCGAACCCCTCTAGAGCTATCCAATCCTCTGGGACCGAACTATTCGGACGAGGTTGCCTCGCTCCTGACTTCCCTTCGCATCTTTAGCGGCGCATTCGCATACTGAGACCGGTTTAGCTTGCGTGCTGCAGGTTATCATAATGATGCTGTCAGTTGATGTTCTAATGGGCAACTTCGAGATTACCCATCGATACAACTCTACCACCGGTGTCGGGGCAATGCCAGGTTGAGGATGACTGAGTCAAGTTACTCAGGTGCAACATCACTGAAAACTCAAGGTTCCACAAGATCTTCAGCTATCTTTCGGCTTTCCATAAAACCTACCAAGATCCGCCATCGTTGTTTGAAGGGATTTGCGAAAGATCTCATCGCCTTCCTGAATCCTAAAGAGTCCCTCAAGATCTAGGACAACATGGGCTTCACTTCAGCAACTCGCGCCTTTGGCCTGGGGGCACTGCTTTTCCTTGGCTCAGATGTGATCCCTCAAGTTCATGGCCTTCCGAAGACATCATGGGCTCAACAGAGGGCCAAAGGGCATGGCAGGAAAGCCCTCAGCCAGTCGATGAACAAGCGACAGTTTAGCAATGGCAGCGAGCCAGCTGACTGCGTGGTTCATGATCCGATGGACATTGACGCCCCCAAAGACAATATTTGGAGTGGCCTGACAGGCCCGGAAGCTGCTGGTGTCACGGAATGGCTCTTCGCACAGAAAGAGTTAAACCTCACTCTGAGTGACAACGCTACCTCCTGGGATAACACGATGTAAGTTGGTTTATGATCGCCTCACTTCAGATTGGTCTCCATACTGATAAAAACACGTAGTGTCTTGGTCGAGCTCATGCAGCCAAATAAGTCAGACGCTCTAGCATATATCGACGGCAGCGGCCCCGTCCCAGCCCGATATGCCCACGTCTTGCTTGACTTCCGCGCCACCGAGGAGCCTGAGTATCAAGACATTCTCGTCGGTCCATTACCGGTCACCAATGGCACCACCAAGTGGGAACGACTGGACTACCCTTACACGCGCAAGACTAGCGGCCGCGTTCGAAACCTGGATGCCGACGACGACGCTATGCAAGAATGGCTCTACGATGTGAGCAAGAGCATCGCCGACATCACCAAAGACCTCTGGAACGCCACTGCTCTTGGACTCGAGAACGACACCTTGGAGATCTGGGGTATTGATCCCTACTACCAGGATGACGGTCGCATCCAGCGCTGGGACACTTTCTGGAGCATCCCCGACTCCATCTTCGACGTCGGCTCGATGATGCCTATGGGACTGTTCTTCATGTCTGACGTCACCGGCCGCGATCCTTCCAAGTGGATCCTAGAGGGATGGTACTATAACGGTGTCTTCTACGAGACTACCGAGGAGTTCCGCGCTGCGTACTGGGGTGGCAACGTTGAGAAACTCGGCGGCAACTTTGCTGGCGACTGGTCGGCTACCGATCAGCAAGGTCAGGTCCTTCCTATGGACACCATGGCTCCTCCAACAGCGGTTGCTCCCCAAGGTGCCAGATACTCTGTCGACGCTGAGAGGAAGTATGTTGAGTGGATGGGCTGGTCGTTCTATGTTGGCTTCAACAGAGATACCGGTATGGCTCTCTATGACATTCGCTACAAGGGCCAGAGGATCTTGTACGAACTTGGTCTCCAGGAGGCTCTGGCTCACTATGCCGGTAAGTTCCATCCTGGAAACCCGTGTTAGATGGTTATCTAACAAGCGAATAGGAAGCGATCCAACCCAGTCTCACGTGGCATACCTTGACACCTATTACGGTTTCGGCCCGTTTGCGTTTGAGCTGCTCAAGGGCTACGACTGTCCATCCTATGCCACTTACCTGAACTCGTCGTTCTACGTCTCCGAGTCCACCCACACGCACCTGAACAGCATCTGCCTATTCGAGTTCGATGCCGACTACCCCATGGCCCGTCACTCGTCTCAGGACTACGTCACAGCCACCAAAAACGTCTACTTCACCATTCGCTCCGTCTCAACTGTTGGCAACTATGATTATATGTTTAGCTATAGCTTTTTCCTCGACGGCAGCGTTGCGGTAGAAGTCCGTGCCTCCGGTTACATCCAAGCTGCATTCTACGCCAAAAACGACGGCTACGGCTTCAAGATTCATGACCAGCTGTCCGGTAGCATGCACGACCATGTGGTCAACTTCAAGGCTGACTTTGACATCTTTGGCACCGACAACACGGTCCAGCGCATGCACCAGGTCCCCACGACGCAAGTCTACCCTTGGTCCAAGGGTAAGGCATTCAATACCATGAAGGTGGAGCGCGAGTTCATCGAGAACGAAGACCAGGGCCGCTTCGATTGGAGCTACAACAACCAGGACCAACTCTTTGTCCTCAATCAGGACGTCAAGAACAAGCACGGCGAGTACCGCGCCTATCGCATCCTGCCGTACACCGGCGCCGCACATTTGACTGTCAAGGACTCTAACATTCTCAAGAACTCTGCAAAGTGGGCAGTCAACGACATCATGGTATCGAAACGCAAGGATACGGAGCCGCGCAGCAGTCACCCATACAACAACCAAGACACCGAGAACCCGCCGATCAACTTTGATGCATTCTTTGACGGCGAGAGCCTCAACCAAACTGACCTCGTTATGTGGCTCAACCTGGGCATGCATCATGTCCCTCATACTGTGAGTCACCACGTCTTTAGCCGCCTATATCAGACGAGTACTAATTTGATTAACAGGGTGACCTTCCCACCACCGTCTTCACTACAGCTCACTCCGGAATTCAATTCGTAAGTCCAGCTAACTTCAGCGAGTGAGATTTTGAGCGCATACTTACCCTATCACAGATGCCTGCGAACTACTTCGACATTGGCCCGAACGTGGAAACGGTCAACATGGTCCGCATCAACTACTCCAACGGCACCACGACGGACGTCCTTACCTTCAACGCTGAGACGGACACATGCGCGCTCGACTACGAGCCTACGCAGGCTGACTTGTGGACCTACAAGGGTGATGTGGTTGTTCGCAAATTCCCTTATTTGCCGGATGACCCTTACTATGACACGGATAGCATCTAAATGTTGCAATCTGAGGGGGGTAATATTAATGATACTGAATGATTGGTCACGATATAATGGCAAAGAGGAATAGATAGGAGGAGCAGTAGGCTACAGTAGCAGTTGGTAAACAGAAATAGTACAGACTACTTTACATATCATCTTGCACTTTGCGCTGACTAGAAATGAAAGGTTCTTTTGGGATATCTTCAGCGAGGCTTCGGGCATGGGCGAATAAGTAGTGAAGCCATCATACGGCGGAGGTCTAAAAGGAATCAGGGGCCGAAGTGCCTAAATCCTTCGAGAAGGCTATCATAGCCTTGTGTTGCCTTAGGTTCTACAAAACCAGGCTGCAGTGGTTCTTGAAGAAAATAGACTTCTTAAATTTGAATGATCAAGTCAGCAGTAAAGGCAAGGGGGTGGCACTGGCATCAAGGCGTAGCTTCGCGGCTTACTGAGCTATTCAATGTGTGGTTACGGTCATTGCTGACGACTATTTGGAGAAAATTCTGGGGTTACATGACATTTCGTTCAACCCCAAAGATCAGATCTGAGTAGGCGGTTGGCTCAGGATCGAAAATCTCGTCCAAAAAAGAAAGAAAAGCGCGGGAAGGATTTTGAGTGATGAGAGGAGAGACGCCGTCAGGTACGACTCTCGTGCGCTGGTCCAATGAGGTCCCGTTTGGTCTTTGGCTCGGTGAAGATTTTGCCCGAAATAGCAGCAGCGCGTCGGGGGCTAATTTTCCCGCGGGTACGCGGTACGTATCGACTCCCGACCTCTGGAGCTCCCCGTCACCTGCAACTTGCAAGACCTCCCATGTTCACATCTGCGCATCATCTCACCACCCTTGTCTTTTCATCCTGGCACCGATCGAACCATCTGGCATCACCATTTCGAACAAGAAAAAAAAAAGTTGAATGAGAATCGCCTCGGAAACGGCAGCATTTTCAAGAATCGACAGGGGCATCCGTCGAACCCAGCAACCGGGTGGGGATTTGCGGCCCAAGAAAGATGCCCGACTGGCCTCTGATCAATGATTGATCAGCGCTGATCGTCCGGAGGGGGCTCCGCGAGGAATTCTCGGTTGTTGGCCATTGACTCAGCCAAGTCACCGCAGTCATCCCAGCCGGCACCCATTTCTCAACTTCCCCGGGGCATTCACGCCTGGGTCCGGGTCATGAACGCTGATCCGGGTCGTGTGGCACTCGACTACGCAGTAGGGCGAGACGGTATCGGTCAATGACGATAAGCGACGTTCGATAATGCCGCCGATATGTTCCTCCTCGCCAGGCGACAGGCGGAAAATGAGGCGTTCTGTATCCTCCCTCCCTTGCTCCATCGCCAAGTGGCTGGTTCACGCCTTGGACATGCAGATTCGGCAACCCCTTGCGGCCCTGGAGCCTTGGGCCCGGTAGACGCGACGTAAGTCATCCATCTACGATCTACTCACCTAGTCAGTAGTCAGATTTCCCGATTCGAGAGCCAACAGCCGCGCTGTTCTCAAAATACCTGCCCGTCAGCATGACTACCCTTTGGTGTCGCGTCAAATTACTCGGCGGCTCCTCCAAATGGCACCGCGCCAGCGCCTGTCACCATGCCACCGAACAAAGCACTTTAGGGTTCCGCCAACAATGCAGCCAATGTCACATAGCTAGGCCTCTGTCTGGCGGAAACTTCAAGCGCCGCATGGAGAGAGACGCTTTTCCGAAAGAGGAGTCAAGTCTCTACGCCCTACTCTGGCCTCCCTTTCCCCGTCAACTTTTTGTTCGCTCCGTCCATCGCATTTTCCTTGATTTGGGTGGTTCTATCTTTGCTTTTCCTCTTCCCAGTGAGACACTGGTTCACCTTGGCCATCAGCTGGAATCCGAGCGACAGGATGCCACTAGTTCGCCTTGCCACCGGAGCCAACGAGTTGATTATCGGTGCAGCTCTTCAGCGTCCATCCACATGCGACTTGCTATGCGACGTTGAAGATTTTCCAGCGGCCTGGCGTTCTACGTGCCACATCCCCTCATCCAAGAAAAAGGCGCCGTGAACCAAGCCAGCCCACTCATCATCGGAGAGATATGCCACCTACCGTCCATTGACTTCTCCATGCCAGTGCTCCCAGCCACAACTTCGAGAAGGGAACTAGCGCAGATCCCTATGCGGCCAGGATCAGTTCCTTGGGCCTGACTGTGTATCTCGGCGTCTGCCGTGTGGACGAAGGAGTGGTGGGAAGGAGCCAAGCCCATGGTTCGTACGTCTTCACTCACGTACGCACTCGCGCATTCACGGTAGCCAAGGGCGGGAGATAATCGGAGTCAGGGACGACATCTCCCATTCCTCGACTCGGTCGAGTAAGTGCAAGTCAAGCTTAGCTCCCGCGGTGACAACTTTGGGGCGAGACACGCATCCACTTTTGACAGGCTGACTCTCGGCCATTGAGCCTGTTTCGACGGCCTCGGTGTGTTCACCTTTGGGCTCACGAAAACAAACGGTCGAGTGAGTGTCCCCGGAAGTCCAAAACCCGACAAACGTTGTCTTGGGTCTTCAGTTGGCATTCCATCAAAGCATCCACCTCAGCTCAGTTGGACCTCCTTTTCGTGTCGAGGATCCTGGAAAACTCGAGATATGATGGATTCTCGCCCGTTTTGGACGTGTGGAAGGTGGACAATGGCCAGATGAGGAGGAAGTCTCCAGCCCTTTTCCTCCATTGCGCGCACAGCAAACCGCTTTCTACTCTCCGAACTGACTGCTCATCTCTTCCATTCTCCATCATCCTGTACTTTCAATTCCAGGCAGACGCTTGTGGCACGATATCCATCTGACAATCTGACAAGTGTCCGATATCTCGGACCAAGCCGCCGTGAAGGGACTCCTGTGAACTATGCGAGGCTGCGCTAGCTGCAAGCCTCACGTCTTTCAACAGTCAGTTCTTGCTTCTCGTGGTACCAGGGCTCGACCACGCCTTGCATCCATGATGCAACTAGTTACTAAGGATATCCCCTTCGATGCGCCACGCTGCCAAGGGCAAAGCCGTCGCTGAGCAAAAGAGAGGATATGGCAGTCACCAATGTCTGCGCAGCCAATCCCAAGGGTTCTGCGGACTTCAACATCTGACTTTCCATTAACACGTCTATTTTGAGACCCGGCCACCCGGCTTGGCCGCATCCACTCTCGTGGGAACATCGGCCTTGGATGCAACCATGCCGCTGACCGTGCCGCCGCCCGCATTCTCTTCAATCCTTCCATCCAACCCCACGTGACTGTCCCGGAGACGACGGTCATCGTGTGCCACCATCGATGATCCAAATTGGGCACCTTGAGGGAGGCTAGACCCCAGCGCCGGAGGGGCTCTATTTCGGATGCGCTTGTAGTCGAATGCCCCCCGTCATGGCGCACGTGGGATCAAGGATCCAAGGCATGTGAAGGGTTGATAGAGACATTCCCTGAGGATCACGAAGGGAGTATTTATCAGACCATCGAATCCCCCTCAAGTCGTGATGTTGTCTCCTTTCAGTCATTCAATTATCAAACCTCATCATCTAGTGGTGCTTTCCGATCATCTCGCTCGCCGTCTTTTCTTTTTCGATCTCCCCATTCCTTATTCCACACGGGCCTCCATCTCTGTGCAAGAGTTCCTTCTTTGGGCCATCTATCTCGTACTGGCCACTCTCTCAGTCGTAGCATTTCATATACTTGGATCTGCTACCCACGTTGAAGTGCCACTCTTTCATTCTCTTTCGTAAGTCACAATTGATGAGCTTTCGAGGTTGGTGGCGGACGGCACTGACAGTAATGTTAGTTACTTGTCTTTAACCTGTATCAGCCATGTCTTTCACAACGTCTTCTTCAGTCACACTTCCAGTGCCCGTTGTAGAAGATGTTCACCACGACCTTCCAATCAATATCGGCGACGAGAACAGCTCCGAGCTCACCTTGACGCCTCCGACCAAAGTCTTCTTCCCGCCCAGTAGCAACTCATCAACGCATACTCTCGTAGTCACCGATGGCGTTCCTTCTCAACCCCCAACTCCTCCCGCATCAAGTAGCTCAGTCGACGACACTGACGACGAAGAAGACGATATTCCTGTTCCCTCAAAGAAGGGCAACCGTCCTTACCGATACCTGCGCTGGAATTTCGGCTCCGTCTACAGACGTATCTTCAGTCTCGCGTTCTTTGGAAACATCGCCGCCCTCATCTTCGTCATCATCCGCTCTCTTGTTGGGGGTATCCAGCTCACGCCCCAAACCTGCGCCACGGCCGTCTCAGCGAATATCCTCGCCGCCCTTTTCATTCGCAACGAACACACAGTCAACGCTCTCTTCAAACTCTTCGTGCTCTTCCCATCTGCGAAGGCACCCCTCCGTATCCGTCGTACCTTTGCCAAAATCTACTCATACGGCGGCATTCACAGCGGCTGCGGCGTGGCCTCCTTCTTCTGGTTCATCGCGTTTCTCGTCGTCCTTACGGCCCAGCTCAAGAACCCATCAAATGCCGTACGGGCCTACATTCTCCTCGACAGCTACCTCATCTGCGCCCTCCTCGCCGCCATCATCGGCTTCGCACACCCCAGGGCCCGTGTTCTTCTTCACAACTGGTTTGAGGGCACCCATCGCTTCTTGGGCTGGTCCGTCATCGTATTCTTCTGGGCACTTGTCCTACTACTTGCCGCAGACGACAGCACCACTGCCGGTACCCCTTATGCCGTATCTCTCGTCCTGACGCCGTCATTCTGGATGCTGATCGTCATCACCCTCCTGGTCGCGTACCCTTGGACGCGTCTCCGCCTGCGCGATGTTGAAGCCGAGGCCATGTCGGACCACGTTGTCAAGCTCAACTTCAACTACGCAGACGTCCACTACGGCCAAGCCGTCCGCCTTACCGACGCGCCTCTCCGCGAGACCCACGCCTTCGCCGTGATCCCGAATCCTGCCGCCCCATCCACCGACATCGAGAAGGCTCAGTCAACAGGGGGGCTCTCTAACGCTGGCAAGAAGGGCTTCTCCGTTCTCGTCTCGAATGCGGGCGACTGGA